AGAGGAAATGGCCTCAAGTTGTGCCAGGGGAGGTTTACATTCGATATTAGGAAAAATTTCTTCACTGAAAGGGTTATCAGACATTGGAATGGGCTGCCCAGGGAAGGGGTTGAGTCCCCATCCCTGGAGGTATTTAAAAGACGGGCAGATGAGGTGCTTAGAGGCAGGGTTTAGTAGTGGACAGATATGGTTGGACTCAATGATCTTAAAGGCCTTTTCCAACCACATGATTCTATGAAAGTGTAGCTGCTTCTCCAGAAACCTTACAGGTTTAAGGGGTCAGCTTCGTTGCATGATGCAAACTAATGTACAGTTAACTAACTTGGCGTGGGTCCTAAAAGCTATCTCAAAGCTGCATAGAAGAGAATTTACACTGTGGAGGAGCAAGGTATGTGGTTTAAGTGAATTCATTGCCATATTGGACTGTAGCTGTAACGTGACAAGCCACAGCTTTTCCCATCCTTTATCAAACAAAACAAAAAAATGCAAATAGAAAAGATGATCTCTTATAGACACATAATTTCTCTGAGTGCTGTTTAAAGTGTGATATATTTCAGGTAGTTCAGCCCTCCAGGTGAACAGGAAGAGTTATGCAGGGAATGGAGCACATACATGACCAGTCCTGGCAATCCTCAACGAGCATGTGCTTCCCTAGGTTTTGACCCCTAAACTGATTTACGCACAGACTCAGAGAGTTGCCAGCATCTCTCTGTCCCTGTTCAGTTGTGTGCTCTGTGTCACAATTGTTCCTCGCCTGGCCGCCCTCGACGGCGCGTACAGGCAACGGCTAACTCTCTGTACCCAGCAGAGCAGCATGCGCAGCAGCTGGAGCGAGGCCTTGGACAGCTGTCAGTACAGCAGCAGGTCCTGAAGCTGAACCTGGTTCTTGTTGTAGGAAAAGCATTACAATCCCTTTCTTTTCCCACCCCATCATGCAGCTCCGTAAGACTCCAATATACAGAAGAGAAGGTAATCCAGCTTTACCCCCAGTAAGTACTGGCTTTTTATTTCCTGACCTTTAAACTGCTGTTCCTCTTTTCCGGGCACATTCATGTATAATTCAGTGGATATTTCTTCCTTTTTACAGATTATTTTATCAGCAGCCAAGAGTGCTGGCTCCAACGTAAGTTTCTTTTTTTGAACTTTGTTTCTGCTGACTTTGGTTTGGGTGCTCTGTGGCACTCACAGTTTGAAAGTCCTGGTACACACTGAACTTCCTTTCCAAGGGAAGTCTAACCACATGGGTATGTCTACAGCTGTCCCTGCTGCTACAAGATTGAGTTTAGTCACTGTGTACTTGCCAACATACGTCCTGTAAACTCCCAGTTAATACATCAGCACACACACAGCCTGTCTACATGGTTGCTGCCAGGAACTCTTTTTGAGATGGGGGATATGTAATAGCTGGAAGACAGTGAGAAATGCCTTCTGGAACTGGGTTGTAGCTGTAACCAGCTGTGGGAGAGCTTTAAATCCATTTCAGGGCAAAATCAAGCAAGTGCCTTGTATGACCTTCAGCAATGGTTTCAGCTGACCTGCTGGATCTTACACTGGAACAAATTGCAGGCACTCACACAGACAAGCCTCTGTGAGAAGCAGTCAAACCAGTGGGTTTAAACGGACACGGAAGGTTTCAGGCAGCAGCAGCTAGAAAGTGACTTAGGCAAATGTTCCTTGTCAGCTCGTGTTTGTTAGCAGTGTCCTTTGGACCCGCTCCTATGACCTGACTCTTATCTCTAGCAGTTTGCCTTCAACAGCCACCATTCTTCTGCATGTTAATAAACACACCCTATTAAATCTCTCCCCCTCACCCGCCTATTTCAACAGGACGTGCTAGGACTGACTATTTCTCTCTTCTGTACTGGAATAAATTAATGCGCGAAATCAGCTAGTACGTACTGGGCTAAATGAGGGGAGAAGCGTGCAGCTTTTAGTGCTCTGTGTCTTCTGAAGGGAGTTCACTAGCATGCACTGAGAGGATGCATACCATGGAAGTGAGTCATTGGGAAACCCAGTGCAGCCCTTTAAAATGAAATTTTAAAAAGCCCTGCTTAAAGAAGCAAACTTGCAGATTTCCTTCTCTCTCTCCGCGCCCCCCCCCCCCCAAAAGTGTAATTAACCCAGAAAGAGAACCGCTCACTTAGTACATTTTCTACAAACCAAATTCTTCTTCCTGTATAATTTAATCTTTTAATCATATGCATTAGTATAGGAGGGAGTGAAATTGTTGTTCTCGTCTCCACTCAGACTGAAAGTATTAGACGTGGGTTGAAAGTGTACTGCTGCCTCGGCCATCAGACTGCTCCCCACGGGTCCCTGGGTTTGATTCTTGTGCTATTATTCCCTTGGGAGCATGTTGGTGGGAGCCTGCTTCAGCCTCTGAGTGTGGCTCCCTGTGCTGTGCATGACAAACTTCATTAGCAGAGTGCTACAAATCATGGTCTGGGGCGAACGGGAGCAGGCGAGGGTAAATTACACATCATAAATGACATCTTGTTTTAAAATCAAAAAGGTAAGAAAGAAACCCTGAAAACAAAGAAGAAAGTTGAAATAGCATTGCATAGCTGGAATAGGGCATAATCAGACTCTGCCACACATATATTCAATATTTCCACTACCTACTCAGATTAAGGATTTTCTGTAATTTTGTTACATATTTGAATGCTGGCTCACATAGAGAATTTTAAATTATATCTGAATGTGTTAAAGCTATTTATAAATACTGGAAAAATAAACTGCCATGCCACAAGCTGTGTTTAAATAACAAGCAATGGGATATATTTTTATAGTAATTTTCACATTATTACTTACATTTTAATCTGTATGTAGCAACATGCATCAGACTGATAACAAATATGCATAGCTTCCTGCTCTGTGAGTTCGGTGGTCATGAAACTCTCCTCAGCAGAAAAGTCCTATGAGCTTCAATGAGATTTTAGTAGATCCTCCATTTTTTGCCAATTCATTAAACACCGTTCAGTTTAATCCCAGGAAGTGAAATGTCTGTGCTTGGTAACCTTAAATAAGAGGGCAGGGAAAAAGACCTGAAGATAACACCATCCATAATGAGTTAATGCTGGTACTCACGCTCTTCTTCTAGCTGCCTTTTTAGTGTTTCTTTCCCGTTTACTGGCCTTGGAACCAAAAGGAACAGTGACATTTCATTAACATTCCCTTTCTTTTCCTTCAGGCGTCAGGATGTGCTGACAGTCACACCGTGGCTGGCCCCCATCATCTGGGAAGGAACCTTCAATTCTGAGATCCTAGAGAGTGCCTACAGGCCACTGAATCTCACCATAGGGGTGACAGCCTTTGCCGTTGGAAAGTAAGTGAACAACTCAGTGGGCACAGTCCTTGGGTTGATGTATTTCCTCTGTGGAAAGGTCATTTTGGCTTGTCTTGGCCTCAGCAGAGCTGAAATCTGTCCCAGTCTGTAGTAAGCTTTTATGCCCATGTGTTGTGTCCATAATCATACAAGCCTGCATGATAAGAGACTTGGCACCCAAGGTACCTGAAGCATGGTCAGTATTTTTGAAGAACTAGCGTGTGCCTTGGGAATTAGAGCTGTAGTTGGGTGGCTGGCTGGTCAAAGCAGGGATAATCCACTTGTTCCTCGTCCTCCACTATACTTTTACCTGTTGTGTGTATAGTGTATGGATCCTTGCAGCAATAGCTGGTCAACACTATTCATCCCTTGTCTTCCATTTATTAAAGTACCCTTCATAATCCACCATGCATCTCATTGTCTCTGCTGTGCTGTCCACGTGTTGTGTCTGCACAGATACACAAGGTTTGTGAGCCACTTCTTGGAGTCAGCAGAGAAACACTTCATGAAAGGCTATCGGGTGAACTATTATATCTTCACTGACAACCCTGAGGCAATTCCTGACGTCCAACTGCAACCTGGACGAAGGTTTGCCATTGTGCCCATTAAGAAATACCCCAGCTGGCAAGAGATCTCCATGCGCAGGATGGAGGCCATAAACAAGCACATAGCAGAGACGATCCATCGGGAGGTGGACTACCTCTTCTGCCTGGACATTGACATGGTGTTCCACAACACCTGGGGGCCTGAGACCCTGGGTGATATAGTCGCAGCCATACACCCTGGCTATTTCAATGTCCCTCGAAGCGAGTTCCCTTACGAGAGGAGGAACTCTTCAGCAGCATACATCCCTCATGAAGAAGGGGACTTCTACTACGGAGGAGCCGTGTTTGGAGGGTTGGTCAAGAAAGTCTACGAGTTCACCAAGACTTGCCACATGACCATCCTGACAGACAAAGCCAATGGGATCATGGCAGCCTGGCAGGAAGAAAGCCATCTCAACAGGCATTTCCTCTCCCACAAACCCTCCAAGCTGCTTTCTCCAGAGTATTTATGGGATGACACGAAACCAAAGCCCCCCGAAGTTCACCTCATACGTTTTTCCACAGTGGTTAAGAACTACAAAGAGATAAGAGATTGACCATCGGATCCCTGCAGAGATGCCCTCCACACAATCAAACCCACTGATTATATTAGCTTGCACAGAACATGCCCCACCCTGAATTTCTGTTCTCAGTGTGAACAAACTGAGAAAGGAACATGTGGATAGTTTCTCTGGAGAACAGGAATCTTAATGCATTTCAGAAGCAGCAGCCAAAGTGGAGGTGAGAATGAAAAGGTTTCTAGGTTCCTAATCTTTGTAAATACAAACATCCTGCTTGAGGCTGCAGCACACAAAAAGGCATCCAAAGGCCAGTTATCAAATGCAAGGCTGTCCTTATAGCAAGGCTGCAGATGCCTTTGCCTGACTGTTTTACTGAGGCCTAGCAGAAGCTTAGTGAGATCGAAATTGTATTTGAGATTCCTGTGGAGAAGGAGAAGACGTAGCGTTTTAGTAACAACCTTTTCATTTAAAAAAAAAAAAAAAAAAAAAAAGAATTTTGCAAGGCAATAATTGTTCATGCATTGTGATTTAAACTCATACCCTTTATAAGGATCAGGAGGAAACTTGCACTCGAAGCAAGTTATCCCTGACTGGCATGCAGCAGGATTTCTCGGACCTTCTCAGCAGAGAGCTGGTGCCAGCCATCGCCAGTAAGAACTCTGGTCTGACAGGACCAATAGTGTGAATTCATATAGCAGTTATCTTCCAAATTCCAATCTGTGTTTTGGAGACCTGAGTTTAGACAGAACTGGCACAGATTAGACCCAGACTGAACTTTGGGTTTATTTCAATCACAGATGTGCTCTGAACCTTTTCCCTGGTTCACATGTCTCTGTAGATCATGTCATCTTTTCCAACACAGAAAATCTGGTATTGAGAGGTTCATGTTCCTATCCGGTGCTTCAGTCCTTTCCAACTTTTGTAAGCTCTGTGAAATAAATTGGCTAGAAGCTGCTGGAACTGACAGTAAGGGCTGATGGATTCCCAGCAAACAGGGTGATTTCATTTTATAATGAAATGCTCTAGTGAAACTGTGAGTTCAGTCTAGAGCTGGAATTAGGCTGGGGTTAACATTTTCTTTGCGTGAATGCGATGAGAAGCTGAAACAGGCGTTCTGCAGCCTTTAAAGCCCGACAGCTCACTCGGGTGAACAGGCCAGGGGGGCCAAAACACAGGGGAACAGCCACGGCTTGCAACGCCGACTGCGTAACTGTCAACTGAGGTCACAGTGTGGAGGTTCAAGTGCCACCTCCCTTGCCGCAGCACGCCTGCCATAAACATCTTCTCCGTTACCTCCCGAGGCACGCTACGAAGGGCTGTGCAAGTCTGTGCCACGCTCATTTAATGTGAGCAGGGAGAGAGAGCACAGGGAGCAGCAGAGAACGGCAGTGCTGTACGGCATGGAGAGGAGAAGCAGGGGTGAAAGGGCTAAGCTGACTGTTTCTGAGGAACAGTTTAAAAAAAAAGAAAGAAAAAATGCTCATTTGGCAGGGAGAGAGAAAATGGGGAAGAGGTGCCTGACTGTTCTTGCTTCTCTTCACAGGATAAAGTCGCTGTATGGCAGTGTATCAAGCATTCAAAGCTTTAGGGGCCCACCACTGATTGCAGATGACTTCACAAGCCATTGCAGTTCTGCGTGAGCAGGCTGAAAATGGCACTTGCCAGTGTCATTGTAGGCATTTCATCTTCCAGATTACTAATCAGAAAAGCCTTCGTGGTACCCATAATATAGATAGGGTACACAAACTACCTCCAGCCCAAAACCCCTACTGGCAGCTGGGTCTGAGGATTCATGCTTTATCCAGCAAGGGGTCTGCCTTATTATGTTTTCTCCAGACTGTTCTTAGTGCTGGAGGAAGACACCCCTGTACGTAACTAAAACAGAACTGAATCTCCTGGACGATGTCTATGTTTGGTAACCAGGCACATCATCGAAGCCAAAAGGGTGAAGAAAGATCCTTATCCAAACATTTCCAAAAAGATATATGCCTACCAAACCCAGGATTAATACCGTATATTTCTTCTTTGTAAAACAGTTGTGTCTGAAGGCCGTGACTGAAACTAGGGTCTCATTATGCCAGTTGCTATATATATGCATAGGGCTGCTTTTACGAGCCAGAAGGAACTGTCGTGTCTGGTCTGCACAGGACAAGCCAGATAAAATTATCTCCTGATGTCACTATAAAGCTCAGGATCCAGAGCTGGGCTGTGCTAGAGCGCTTAGAAAAGCATTCAGATCCAATAAAAACATGAAGTGATACAGCAGCCACAAATCCATAGATCAGCCGTGCCAATGGCTAATTCCCCTGTGCCGATGGCCAATTCCCCTTATGCCTTAATTCTGCTCTAAATTGGTCTGTGTTGGCAGCCTGTATTTGCAGCCATCAGGCTTCATTCTGCCATACTAAATTACTTCAATTCCTCTCCAGATATTCAGAGCCTATACTAAATCCACCACGAGAGGAAGTCCTCCAGCACAAATGATGTGTGATTTAGGGTGGTCTATGTTTCTGGGGTACCTGTTCCTGAAAAACTTTTGTGAAAGGCTTGGTCTCTGGCTCTGCTTCCTAGCCACCTTTTGGCCGAATCCAAGACCCTGTGATTGACGCAGTAACAGCCTGATTTGTGCAGTGCCAAACGTTTATTTTCCTGGCAGGCCTGCAGCTTCTCCCCTGGGGGGAGGTCTTGTGTCACATATTACGTGACACAGTTCTGCTCGACAGGGCTGTGATTTGAAGCAGTACCTAGAAACTCCCTGTGTCTCCAGGGAGCAGAAGAACGTGAGTGCAGAAGCACGCTCCCCAGCGCGCTGTGGGAGACACTCCCTGAACCAGCTCATGCCCTCCTCTAATTAATGAAAGTCTGGACTTCTGTTGTCATCTCCTGCTGATTAATCCCCTTCCCCCAACACCAGCAGCAAGCTCTCCTTCTCTCATTTGGCTTGTGCAGCCTGAGGCTGGTGGGCAGTGCGGGAGCTTCACAAGGACCTATATTCTGACCTGAATTCCCCACCAACCTCCGTTGCTCAGTGGGGAAACTGAGGCACGCGGTAGCAAGGCAGCAGACTGGCACTCTTGCATGTGAGGTCTTCCTCCACTCGCCACAGGGGACGATGCTGTCTCATGTGTCCTTGTGCCAAGGGAATTTGGACTTGGAAACACGCACGCAGTACTGCATGAAAAATGAATCGCCACGTGTAAATAAATTATCAGCAGATCTCCGATCTGATCGTGCTTTCAGGGTATTTCTGACTCAAGCCCCCTTTGTCCTTAAGCAAGCCTCGGATCAGTAGCTTGTTGCCTTCCCAAGGGCCCCTTGTTCCTTCCATCCCTTTCTGCTCGGCTGGAACAGACTCATCATTCATTGTCCCTCTAATTTAAGAACCCATCTGACAGGCTCTTTCTTTCCTTATCCTGGCTGGTGACTTGCATGGTGCAGTCATCCCCAAAGGGAAAACTTCTCTGGGGGGCAAGAACCAGAAACTTCCAGCACTGAATGTGATCCTAGGTGGGGCCAGACCGTGATCCTCATTCTCCCCACTGATAGGGCAAGAATAATTTCCAGTAAGCCAGACTTGCACCCTTTTTCACTCCTGTTTGAATTTCCCTTAACCCGCCACAGGTGGTGCTGCCTGATACTATTGACCAGAAATGTCATTTTGAACCACTTTGATATGCAGCAATAGTTATGAAAGGACTGGCCTAGTCAAACCTTCTCTGTGTGAGATCTGTGGCTGGGGGGGCATGGAAATTAAATGGCCTTTGAGCAGACACAGACGAGGAAGGCTAAGGACATCCGTTACGTGTTCCCTGCACAAAACCAGCTTGGGGAAGAGCCATGTGCATCTGGCTGGCTTAATGCAGCAAAAGCAGCACGGTGGTAGAAAGGAGCTGGAAGGCTGTGAGCTCCGTGCCAGGACGGCTGGTTTTACTCTCCAACCCTTCGTCTTACCTGTTTAGCCTGTGGCTTTTCAAGGAGGGGACTGTCTCTCGTTCTGTGGCTGCGCTTGGTCGCTCACTGCTGAATGTGAGATACACAACGCGAGTTTGTTTCTTAGCAGGGATTTGCTCTAGTCTCAAAGGGCAGCTCCAGGCACCAGGGTTACTATTTTCTGCCCCCTGCTCTGCTTCACCTCGCTGCCCCAGTAAGTCCCCGTGGGATCGCAAAGGGGTGGAACACGCAGAGAGCAACAGCTGCTCTCCAGGTGGCGTGACAGGGACGGTGACAGTGATGGTGACAGTGACGGTGACGGGTGCTTTCAGGGACAGCAGGAACTGGAGAAGGAATTTACAGGAGTGGGTTGCACTTTACTCACGTTAAATCCCCAGTCCTGCTCCACACAATCAAATAATTTAGGAAAGCATTGCTGGCAAAACGTATCAAAGCAGTGACTTTTAAATGTCTACCTACCCACCCGACCCCCTCCTTTCTCGAAGAGTAATGCTGTACTGACTTGACTTTTCTTGGGCTATATTTAGATTAAATATAGATCCACCAAATGTCGCTGTTTCATGTAGAACTAGTATAAAGCCGTATGAATAGAAAGGCAGCTTTAACCAGAAATCTGCTGCTTACATGGCCACC